GTTTACAGTGAAAGCTGGAGGTAAACTTTCACTTCAGTCATATTTTAATTCCTTATAAATATAGATTGCTTGTTTCACATGTATACCTTTACGCGTACCGCAAGGCTCTGCCTTTAGCCTTATTTTTTAGTATGAGAATCAATTACATGCTTCACAGTCAAATGAATTTTGTCATGGAACCGTCCAGTTTTCCTATCTACACAGCATAATATTTGAATTTTCTTTAAGAATTATAGCGAAAATGCCATACCGCTGAGCTTTTAGTGCGAGCATCCAATATTAGTAATGGTACTAAAACATTCCCACGCGCCATCCGCAATTATACCAGTCCTTACAAAAAAAAAAATTATCAGCCAGGAGAACTAACTCCAAAAAATCCCATTTGCGTTAAAATTGCTGATTCGGGTAAGAATGCGGACAGTACTCTATGAATTTTATATGTTTTCTGAAATTTCTGTTGATTCGACATATATGTATGCACGGATTCGAAAAGGCCGACGGAGGCTTATTTCTATAAGCGAAATGAATGTTGATTCGGGTTGTGGCGCTTTCCCTCACGAACTCTTGGCATTTCTAGCGGCTCTAACAGCAGCGGATTACGACTTTAAGAAAAAAAGGCGAAGAGGAATAACACTTATGATTCTAAAAGGGCAAATAATCTGAGGGGAATATTACACGAAAAAAATCTATAAGAAAAATGTGCAGCATGGTGGAGAGGGAAATGAATATCTGAAAAAGAATGTTTCGATCCGTTCAGCCATACACATCCCATTCCAATACCGTAAAAAACCTCTAAACTTTTAGCTTTGTAGCCTCTCAAACTCTTCCTTTACTAACTGAATGGAACTCCGAAGTGGTAGAGCACACGTATCTAGCAGGCGACAGACACTAACTGGAGGTAAATTAATTATTTTACTTGGTCCCTTCTCAGGATTTTTTTAAGCTAAATTATTCTTCTTACTTCTCTAACATTTTGTACACAATCCGAGAACGAAAGATTTGGCACAACTAGGCTCGACGTTTTGAGTACGTCCCAATAGAATCGCTAATTTCGAGCCCCAAAATTTATTTTTCGTGCAATAGTAGTTTTAGCAGCAATTTCACTCTTACTGCTGTCGAGCCTTGGATATTGCTGAAACGGAGTCACATGCCAGGTTTAGCTGGGTCAAATCTCTTTGTTTTTGCACTGCCTGCCTTCGGAAGTTGCTTATCGTAAACACTTTGCAAACACAGAAATTCCGTGCATACTAAGGTAGTTTTATTCTGTTTGGTGAGCACCACACATATCTGCCGAAAATCCTTTCTGTATCGTTTACGAAAAATGCAATGTGTTTCTGCAGATGCGCCGGAATTCCACGACAAACCGCATATTGTGCAGCGTGAAGGTGGGAATATCATTGTGATCAAAGTGCGGGCGAAATCGCATTTGGATATGACTGCTGAATGGTTTAAGGTATCTCTGGCATTTAGCTGCAAGATTTTTGTTTGTTTACCGGCACCTTCGTGCTAAAGTTTCGATTTTCGTTTTTCCAGACTTTCACTGGCAAAGCAAAATGGCGAGCACTGCGCATAACAGTGTTTCTTTAGGCTAATAAATATCTTATTATCTAATATTAAATAATTATTAAGTCAAATCCTCTTTCTGTATTTGCTTTTTATGGAAGACAGAGTTGTTCGGAAGTACACTTAGGGTGGCAAGTGCCAAGCGCGACCGCACGCTGGCAAGAATAAATGCCTCCTTCGAGAACTGATTACAAGCAAGCTGCTGGCAGTTAAACTTTCTGAATAAGATCGTATTAATTAATTATCGAAAAGAATGAACAAATCGCGGAGGGACTGATTTCCAGAGTCGATCTTCGGTTTTCTGCTCTAGAATTACTTACTGAAATGCAGTTTAAATTATCTGGGAAATAAACAGGAGTTTTACCTGGGTGTTTTAGAAGTTAGCAAGATGTTTCTCATCAAGTGCTCATGTGGAGCCGATCTCCACATTTACACTCAGAATTTAAAAAAAAAACTCTGGATTTTCGTCCGGAACTCATTCAACTTGTATGTTGACATATCTTACAGGATGACAAGCCGTTGAAAGCAAGTGATCGAATAAAAATGGTCACAAAACAGGATGACAAGGACAAAGAGGGATTCCAGTACCTGCTTGAAATACACGGACCGCAAAAAGACGATCAAGCGAAGTAAGTCAAGTTGTGGCTTTTTTTTTCATTGTTCATTCACGGTAACTGGACAAATTATTGAACATTTTGGATGTGCGGGAGATTATAAAAGCCATGCGGTAAACACTGACAAACAAATTGTGTTTTGTGTGAAGGATACTTCTAGCTGTAATAATATGCTGAATGGACTGGTGAACTGCGATTCTTGAGATGACGGGTGGCACCTAAAGTCTTGGATGGAAGAAGTTAGCAACAAGTTCCTGGATAGAGTGTACCACCAAACGGCTAGGTTCGAGATGTAGCTACGAATAATTTCGATAAATAGTTCACAAACCATTAGGAACAGGCGAACGATGATTATTTCTGAATTTTTATTGCAGGTACAAATGCGTCGTGAAAAACGCCGAAGGCCAAAACGAGCAGTCACTGAATTTATGCTTTGATTGAATTTTTTAAGTTGTAAATTCCTACTAATCATAGTTTTAATCTTTCTTTCCCTAAATTTAGGGATTGATAAAAAATCGACTCCATCGTCTAAACTTTCTTTTCCAGCTAATACAAAGACATAGCGATTTGGTGGGAGAGGAGGTGATAGGCGAAAACAGGGAAGAGAGATTTGGTGGGCGGCGGTACTTAATGGTTAATGTTAGATTAATGTTACTTAATGTTCTCCAAAAACATATGAGAAAGTCAGATTTGTTAGCAATGACCTCTAACGATATTTAATTTTGGTTAGAAATCTATCCGCACTTCACACCCACTATGGCTCAGCTACAGTTCCACGGAGCTTTTCCCTGTTGTTGTAATAAA